TCTCAAAGGTCTGTGCCAGAGGCTGGGCTATAATGCTCGCCAGCTCCTTTAGTACCCTGGGGTGTAGACTGTCAGGGCCAGCTGACTTGAAGGTATCCAGCTTCTCAAGGTGTTCCTTCATGAGGTCAGCATTCCCCCCTTCCCCTTCCCACTTCCCTCTCTCGCTCCCTCCCTCCCTGCTGCCTCCCCATCCCTACTGGCTGTTGGGGGGGAGGGGCAGCACAGCAGCTCCCTCACCCCCTCCATCCGTAATGCTCCAGGCCCTTGTAGCCAATTATGTGCACCCCCTTGGCTCATGCACAGTTGGCCTGGAGCGTTATGGACGGACCGACAGAAAGACAGACTGAGGGTTTTATTATATTAGAATACTGGGTGGCCATCTTATATTCGGGTAAGTGCAGTATCTTACTTTGCATTTGGTGATGTTAAAAACCATCCTATGACTATTAAACAAAAACATTCCAATCACTCTGAAACAATAATCTGTCCTTTTCATTATTTGGTACCTCTCTAATTTTTGCTTCCTTTGCAAAATATATCATTAGCATCTAGATTGTAAATAAAAATATTAAATAGTGTTTGATGAAGAACCAGTCCCCAGGGGAACAAACAAGCAACAGCTACATTCATGCAGAAGCAAGACGTGCCAAAGCTCTTCTCAAAACTAAGACAGATTTATGAATAAGTCCTGCCAATGTTTCTGGTACTTGTTCCATGCTGACTCCATGGCACAATTGTTTTAAGCTCACACTTTATGTCAGGGTTTATAGATATGTACAATGTAGGGTGAGTCTACTACAATAGCATACTTTATGAATAGCTTCTGAGTTTGGAAGATGTTGTTTGCGACAGTCCACTATTCTGGGAAGCAATTTGCTGTAGTTCTAGCATAAATAGCTCTTTAGCAATTATTAAGTCATTTTGATAGACTCTGAACAAGCAAACCATTGCAGAGGCTCTGTTTTAAATGTGTTTTGGCTTAAAAACTAAGAAAACAATGAATAATAGAAGTCTTATTATAAACACAACTTTTCACATAATTAAACAAGCAGTTTCAACTTGGCATATTCTAAATGTTAAAAATTCTCTAAACTGACTGGGTGCCAGTTAATTGAGAAAAACAATTAATTGCTATTAAAATGAATGAATGGGCTGCAAAATAAATAAAAAAGTTTCTCTTACTGCTGGAGTTGATAGTTCCACCTATTACTAAGGTTGCCTAACATTTCCCATTATAAGATTCTGTTTTCACTTGCTTCTAATTTTGCCAAATGTTAAGTATTTGGGCTGAAATTTTCCAAGCCAGAGGACTGCCTCAAGCTGATATTCTTCAGCCGAAGCAGTTTCCAAGAACAAGACTAAGGAAAATGTTATTTTTTAATGTTAAAAAAAAAAATCTGGTAAACTCCTCTTTGGATACTTTTAGTGCTGCTAAACTACAGGCTTTAGAGCACAGACTAGAAGTGCTAAAGTGAGGTTTTAGAGCACAGACTAGACATCTGAGAGAACCCAACCTTTGTATCATATAGACTTGTCTTTTGTTTTCCCAGTGAAACCTTATCAAAATTTTGCTTACTCATAAGCCTCTGAAAAACTGCACTTCACACTCAGTAGAGACTTGCTAGATAAGAAACCAAAGACCATGCCTAAGGTTCTCACAGCTTCTAGCACTAACTAGACCCTATGTGCTCAAACCCTTCACAGGTCCTGTGTGTGACCAGACTGAATCTGTGCTGTTATCACAAAGCAATTCATCATAGGGCAGCCCTGGGCTACCAGAAGGCCAGAGTTCCCCAGTAGTTCTGGGCTGCAGCAGTGCCAGTCACTAGAATGAGGGCTGTTTTCTTCATGCTCTCAATGATGCCTCCCCCTCTTCTGGACTGGTGCCAGGCATCTGATTCAAATGCAGATGGGACCAGAGCCAGGTCAAAGGCATTCCAGGGGACAGCCAAGGAAGTAAACTGGGACAAGGAGCTTGGATAGTAGAGATTGGGACTGGGGGCTGGCTGAGGAGTTTTGGCATTAGTCTGGGAGGCAAATGGCCAGTAGGTGGGTGGGGTAAATGAGACTCGATGGAAGAAGGGACACAGACCATGGATAAGGGTCAAGTGGAAGCCATGGTAGGGAACAAACTGAGGAGTTAGAGGAGGAGAATAGGAACAAGGAAGTAAAGTGAACGTGAAAACTGGGACTGGAAGTCTGCAGGATTCAGACTAGACAAGGACAGTGGTATGAGAAACCTGAGGAGTGGAGACTGGGACTAACTTGGTAAGAAGAATTGCACTAGTATCAGAAGGAAGAGGTAAGAAAAGTACTTTAAAACATTAATACAAAAGATGGGGAATGACAGTATTAAGGTTGCCTGTGAAATCTGTATCTTTTTGTGCATGTGCATTATTGATACCGTCTTTAATTACACAATCACATTTTTTTTTCCATAGGATGTCTGCTTCATTCAATTCACAGGATATTCAATATATTTTTCTCCATTTTGCTTAATGTCTGACCCCAAGCCTTAGTTACTGTACACTCACTGAGCCCTGTTTGGAAGATGGAACTAATTTTCTCCCAGGATTTTCACTACTGCTTATCATAATGGCACTGAATGCTTCACAGTATTTATGAGTTTATCTCTGTAACCCCTCTGTGAGAAGTATTATTTGCATTTTTATGAAAGGAAACTGAGGCACAAGGCAATTAAGATCAAAAGCATCAACTAATTTTTGATGCTCAGAGTGAGACACCTGGTATTTCAGAATGCTTAGCATTATACTGTACGTTATATGTTCAAAGCACAGTGCATCTTGACTTCAGCTGAGGCTGTGACTGCTTAACAGTGATGCAAATTAGACTCCAGGCTCTCAGGTCCACTACAAAAGGAACATTTATTTAGGAATCACTGTGAAAAGGTAAGGTTACTTAACTTGCCCTGCATCACATGGGAATTTCTTAGCAGATGCAAATACATAATCCAGTTCTCTAAGGTGGCATTCAGTTATTTTAACCATGAGGCTGCCTCCCTTTTTCACCCTGTAATCCCCCATCTCATTTGCTCCCCACCTTTTAACTTCTACAACAGTTGAAGTAGGGTTTCTTACAAACTGCCTCCTTCAGTACAAAACCTCAATTCATCCTCAGTACTGTACAGGGTGGGGCAGAAACATCACATGATCATGTGTGTAATGGTAAAGTCTTTAATTTATAAGTACAAAACAGCTCAATTAAGGTAGCATAGGAAGTCAAACTTTTGACTGCTTGACTCTGCAATCTTGGCGCACAGATTACAGAGTTTAATTTTGCCCACTAGGTGGCAGTCACGTTTCATTGAGATCAGAATATGTATGTACAAACCTATAGACACATCCACAGAGGAGTACAAAATTAGAACACTTAAACACTGTACTTCTTACATGCCTGAAACTGAAAATAAAACAAAGCAAACAGTAAAACCATTGGGGTAGGCTTCAGCAGCACAGCCTGCTCCCCCATTTTAACACTGGCTTCTGGTTAGCAGTATTGTCATGTTGAAACATTTCTTTCACTTAACTCCCTAAGTCTGTGGCTGTACAGGAACTGACACTATTTCAATTAATCTAAAGAGGCAAGGATTTTTTTGGGAGCTGATAACTTTTATTGGACCAACCGCATGGCTGGGATAAAGCAAGGCATTCTTCATCCTGGGCCACCACAGTTACAGTGTGACTCTGACACTACCATAACAGAGTTTGGTTTACGATTCCTAGCCGTGGCTCACAATGACTTTGTGGCACCTTTTTCAGAGGGGCCAGGCAGAAGGGAATAACCTGTCACAAGGGAAAAAATAATAACCCTGTCCTGAAGGAAAGAGCCTCCGCCCCAAAGGGTTATACTAACTTTGTCCTAAAGGGGTCACAACTCATCTTGTGTTGAGAGTTATAATAACCCCCTCTCCACGGAAATAACCCCACCTTGAAGGGAAGAGCCCCCTGCCTCAGAGGGTTATAATAACCTCATCATAAAAGGGACAGTCCCATCTGGAAGGGTTACAACACCCTCCCCCCAAGGGGATATAATCCCATCTCAAGGGGAATAATGTCCACCTTGAGCAACATAACCTGGCGTGGAAGGGTCATAACAACTCCCACTCCATGGAGATAACCCCACCTCAAAGGAAAAAGCCCCTGCCTCAGAGGGTTATAATAAGTTTGGCCTACATGGGACAGCTCCACCTGAAAGGGTTATAACAACCCCATCTGCAAGGGGAAATAACTTCCACCCTGAGGGGAATAACTTTGTGTGTAAGGGTTATAACAACTCCCACTCCATGGAGATAACCCCGCCTTGGAGGGAAGAGCCCCCCCTCAAAGGGTTATAATAACCTTGTCCTAAAGGGGCCAGCCCTGTCTTGAAGGGATACAACTCCCTCTCCCCACCCCCCCCCCTCCGGAGATAACCCCATATCAAGGGGTATAACCATGTGTGGAAGGGTAATACCCCCCTCTCCGTGGCAATAATCCGGCCGAAAGGGAAGAGCACCCTTTTCAGGGGGTGACAAGACCCCCGCCCCAAAGGCCAGCCGGCTGCGGAAGGGGACAGCCCCGTCCGGGCCGGGGAGCACTGACAGCAGCCCCGTGCGGAAGGGAGGAGCCCCACCAAAGGCCGCCCGCCAGGGGGGGCGAACACGCTCCGAGGGGCGGCGCCTCTACAGCGGAGGCAGAGGTTTGTTTTTTGTCGGGGGGAGCTCATCTGGGCTCCCCCCGCCCACGTGTCAGCTCTGCTTGTGCCCCGCGGCAAGTCCCGCCACTGGCTGCTGCCCCCCCGCCCGGCACACACACGCACCTCCACCCCCAGCTCCCCGAGGCGCGGCTCGAACCCGCGTCCCACGGCGTGCGCAGGCTGGCGGCCAGCCC